ACGAATGGCATTCATTTGTAACTATAAAATATTGGATTGGCTTTTGTATTTCATGTATATATCTCTATATAAAACCACTTACTTCATAATGATAATTCTAGATATCTCGTCCGCCATGTTGAATTTCAAATCCGTGACGTAGTACACATATTACTTTCTCGTTTTCCCGGAAAATTGAAAAAATAAACACATAAACTTATTACGTAATTCACATTATGATTTAGGTGGATTTTTTTTAACCAATTTTAAATATTAATTAAAACTTTCATGTGCAGGAGACAATAATAAACAGATCAGTACTAAAACAAACCAGAGGTTGTCCCAATTAAGTGCAAACATGTTGGGCATTTGTTCCGTTTATAGGCTATATGACTATAAAAATAAAAAACAATCGCCCTTTTCAGACAATATAGGCTACTCATCGTCTAAGCGATTTTTTTAGAATTAAAACAACATACTATTACAAATTTGTTGTATTTCAATTGAAATTTAAACTGGTGGTCTCTCGTTAGAGAAAACCAGACATAAAGTTAATAGTGTAAGGGAAATAACTCTTTTTAATTGAGTTGGGCTAAGACCACCCCTATCTATAGCTAACACGAAAAATTCTCTCTTACTCTCATTTCCCCCTTTTGCGCGGTACTTTTGTATGGAAAACCAAACGGCTCTTTATTCACTGTTCTTAATTCTTAGTTAATTCACAGTCCTTAATCATTCTTCATTTGTTGTCGTATTTCAACATTTGTATACTAACATTGACATTTGTAGGGTCTCTTAAAATCAATATTAAATTTTGTCATATCAGATTTATAAATTCTATCTTTGCTTAATTTTATTGTATTTTAATATAATGCTAAAATTTTATTTAGAAATCAAAAAGTGACATTTACATTTCATCAGAAACATACAACTTAAAACAAATCTCGAACAACAAAATTCTAAATACAATCTCCAAATACCAATCTTTCATAACTTGAGAACCATTGGGGTCATGAGAGGACGAATCCTATTGATACTCAGCGTTAAAATTCGCTGTCGTGAGAAGAGGGGGTGAGCCATCTTCTGCCTTCGTCATAATAAAGTCAAGTTAAAACAGGATGTTACTTTGTGAATTTTTACTGCATACTTCTTTGGTGTGTTTAACATCCACTGGGTAACCGGATGAGTTATTAAGGACAGGAAATGAAATGAAATGGGGTTTAACGTCCTACTGTTCTGCTCCGAACTGGGCTAATGAAGACGGGCATACGCCATACAGTGTGCTATGAGGGAAATTTTGCCCGGACAGCGGCACTACGGCCTACTCTTATATCGAATTCCAACTGTCATGGGATCTTTTACGTGCACGCCAATGTGTACACGGGACCTCAGTTTTTCGTATCATCCGAATGACTAGACAGCTCTCCTTGTCAGGCCCTCCGTCCTGCATCACCGACAAGGGGGAACCACGTCGGAAAATCTGGATGAACTTTCTAGGCCAATGCTGGGATCGAACACCCGACCTCGAGGCTAGCGAGCCAGCGTCTTACCCACTTAGCCACCGTGACCCCCCTATTAAGGACAGGGAATAGTGCGGAGGCGTGATGGGCGGATAGGCCTTCATGGAAGCGGACGTTATAAAATGCTATTTCACAAGTATCCATTACATCTAGAGGTGATCTCACAATATTATTCGTCCAAATAGCTTAAAAGCTAAACGAATACTATCATGTTGGTGTGTTTGTGTAACGTACATGCACAATTTGCCCACTGGAAAGAACCCCCTTTTACCTTCAACTTTCAGTTTCAATTTGGCAACACAGTATGCCCCTCGGAAAAGCTCTAACCCTAACCCTAACCCTAGGGACAACTTGAAAATTAATATTCTTCCCTCACATAAAACAATACCAGCTAGCTTCTGTTTGTTCGGATTTAGTAGTCTTTGATTTAGATTTGGTGGTCTTAGCTTTGGACACTTTGGTTACAGTCTTTGAACTGTGAGCTTTTCCTTAAATGGATCAAACATTTTGCGCAGCATGTCAAACCCAGCAAAAATAACCTAGTTTTGCTCATATTGGATGGTCACTCCAGCCACACATCGAATCTTGAAGCTATCGACTTCGCTCGGGAAAATCATATCGACATCATAAGCCTCCCGCCACATTGTACCCACAAACTCCAGCCATTGGATGTGGGTTTTTTCAAACCATTCCAAACCTACTATGACGAAGCCCTGGAAACAAAACTTCGAAGCAACCCGGGGTTTGGAATTCTTAGCAGTCAAGTTCCAGGCTTGGTAAATACAGCCTTTTCTAAGGCAGCATCAATTGCTACAGCTGAGAATGCCTTCCTAAAATGTGGAATCTGGCCTATCAACAGACACATCTTCGATGATGAAGAGTTTGCCCCAACAGACATTGTCCAGAGATCAGTACCCAATGCTGTGCCTGTTGTTAATGCAGCCAACACTTCAGATAATCCAACTGATACCCCTGACACTGAGCCAGTGTTGCCAACTGATATACCCACACCAACCGACAGTGTCGCCCAAGCGTCACCCGTAAGCTTACCACCAATAACAGTGACAAAGGGTCCAGTAAACAGCAGCCCTACAGTTGTCAGCGGTGCCATTACATTTCCAGTCATTTCGGTGGAGAATATTAATTTTCAAGTTGTCCCTACGAAAATGGATGGTAGATGTTTTTTTAGGAGTATTGCTATTGCTGCCTCAACCAATCTCCAAGAATCAGTCAGAAATGAAAGTGGTGAGCCAGTCAATACTTTAGACGCAATTTTAGAACGCTCCAAAGCAGACAGTCTGAGGAGCTCAGTAATGGAACACATCATCGAGAATTTCGCATCAGTGGATTTACATGTACCTTCATTAGCAGTGCTGAACAGTGAATTGCCCCCTTCGAAACAATGTGCTAGTCTCATTGAAAGGTTTGAATTTATGTGATCATTGTATTGACCGGTAGACTACTTCTACTTCTGTGCTTCCTATATGATTGTTTGACTCACATTTTGTAGACTTGAAAGTGTTAATCTACTTTTACCGTGCTTTATGTCCATATGTTATTAATGTATTTTATAATTTTACTGTTGCAGATTTTTGCTAAAATGACCTCTTTGCATGCTTCTGTTTTTCATCCTTTTGTAGATCCATTAAATTGTTTGAGTTTGGTGTAAAAACATCCTAATATAGATTTAGTTTCATTTTATTCTGATATTAAATTGTTTGTGTTTTTCCGTTTTTGTATCCTTCAAATTTTGTTATTACGGTACTGAATACACCCTATAATTTTACAAACAAAACCAACTGATTTCTAGTTTATTCTTTTTATCAGTAAACTTTATACTATAAAGATAATAAACAATAATTCAGCTTATAAACATGTGTTTGTAAATTGCACCCTATCTGAAGGTATATTGAACCCCCTGGTACAATTTAAATTCAGCAATGGACCAATTTACCAACACATGCAGCTAAATTGAAACTTTTTGATCAATTTTTAGATATTAGTCTAATTATGTCAGAACACCTTTCTGATCAAAACAAAAACACCACGGTTGAAGATTTGAATAGTCTCTTGCTTCATACTAAAATATAAACGTCTACACCGTTTCATAAAAAAGTTATAGCTATTCATCCTTAAGGGGTTCAATATACCTGCTCTTCCCCTAAACCTTCATACTCGGGTCAGAAAGGGGCGTTCTGAAATAATGATCATGAAGCGCTGTTTATTTTTGTTCTGAACGACATTTTTCAGGTTCGCCTTAGCAACCTGAACATATATAGCGATGACTGACTTTGTTCGCGAAACTTTGAATCAAATCTATTTCTGGCGTGGTTGTTTCGAGGAAAAAGCTTTATTGATTACAGACTGATAAAGATTTGACTACCTAGCAGACTTTGCAAGAGACGGCGAATAATAAATCAGATGAATATATTCGCTGTTCGAACCAAGAATTAAGAATGAAAACGAATTCTTCGTTTAACGATGCTCTCTTGCTGCGCCTTCACCTTCAATACCATTGAAAGTATTTGCAGTGGCTGTTGCAATACCCTCCAGTTCTTCAACAGCCGAGTGGTGATGCTGTGCAATGTAGTTAAGTCTAATATTTTACTGCTCACCAACAAAAACAAAACGCGTCCACATTTCAGTATGGGCGTATTGTGTCGCCACCTTGTCCATCGATCCACACGCCGTCCGTTAATCCGTGCACCAGACAGCAATCTGCTCGTGGACGTGATAGAGGTCACAGTTTTTAACGCATATTTTCAAATTTGATGTGAAGTATTGGGGACATGAGGGACGAACCCTATCGACATTCAGCGTTCGGATACGTTCGCCCCCTTTGCTGCACATCTTTCGGTTTTTAATGGGTTCTAATATGGTTTGGCCCATTGGGGTTATGTAAAGACAAATCCCATTGATTTTAATAGTTCCGCAATATTCGTTACAGAGTTACCCCTACCCTCCACTTTGCTCACAACCTTTTTAAAGCAATAAAGATACAGCTTTTAACGGACTATTTTCAAATTAGGTGTGGACACTCTCGAAGTACAATTGTTATCTGATGTTGATGAAACATGAAACGTATGTTTATAAACCAAAGATCTCGGTTTCTTTCGATATCGGATTGTAACTTCCTGGATTATGACCTCTGATTGTATGAAATATCGCCTTTTTAGCTTGTTTTCCGTCCATCTCTTGCAAAATATGGGCGTATCTTGCATGCATGGCAACCGCTTGTTTTTTTAAAAAAGGTTTCAATATATATATTTTTTTTTAAAATTTGGTGTTAGACGACGAACCCTGAGGATCTGCAGCATTCTAGGACTCTTTTACCCGAGAGTATGTGTCCGGACAAGCTTGTGGTCAACATCCAAGTTTTAGTTTCGGATAAGCTGCTGTCTAGGGCTATATCATTTTTGAGACATAGTAGAACGTATTTTCGCGTGGCTATCTTTAAAACTATAAACCAACACCATCTGTTGTTATTGACGAAATTTGCATTGAAATCACTGTCCTATACTCGTGCATGTATTGTTCGTGATTTATTTTAATCCTACTGAAAGTAATTATGTTCCAGATGCTTTTATGCCGCAGGATGGTCCTTTAAATAATAAATTCGGAAAAATAGCGTGAGGTAAGGTGTATTTTCTTCTCATGCTTAACCATGGTGTCATTTGTATGTCAGATTTTCCCATAAGCATGTTTGCATTCATATTCTAAAATTATCTTATGAATGTCTAAATAAAAATGTGCAAATAAAGATTTAATTTCTATTGCAACTAAATATTATGCCAATTTTCATAAAGTATAATCTTTAAATGACGTTAAGCAGTTGAACACAATGTAACAGATCAAAGTTCTGTGGATAACAATCACTAAATTAGCGGATATCTTGGTGCTGTACAGGTTGAAGGTGGTATAACTCCGAAAACGGAAGCGGTAACGCGATCTGGTCCATGTTACTCCCCGGCCCGAGCTACCCCAATACACCAAATTTCTGCTTCGGGACAGCCTTATGTAGCCGCCAACCCTGGACAGAGACAGACAGACAAACGACATATCACAAATATTATTATAGATATACACACGACGTTGTGTATATAAATGGTGATTGTTATGCATAGACCTTTGTTATGTTATTTCACAAAGTGTGATTATTATATTTTTTGGCGTCTCTGCAATGCGAAAGCAGAATAATTAGATATTGGATTTTCTGAATTACTTCAAACTACAAGAGGCCTATAAAAGGTATGTCAGTCCTGTGCCAGCTGTAAGTGTTAGGTAAAATCTTTTTAATATGTTGATATTTTAGTTTTGTTTTCCTATATAATTTTGGGCAAATATCTGTTGGAATAATGTTACTGCCATCGAGGCACACTATTGTCAAAGAGACTATTTTTCTTTTTGTTGTAATGTTGTTACTATTTTACAAAACGAACGATTTCCGTTGCCGTTCAATGGTTGCCACCCGATCCAATATTAGTACCGTCTAGAAGGGGATAATAATAACGAAAACCGAGATAACTTCACAAAAAGAAAAAACATATCTCGAGATATTATAACCGAGCCTAAAACATACGCATCATACCATAATATACGCATATATTGGAAAGTCCGTATAATATGATGGAGGTCATAAATTTACCTGACGGTAAAAACGAGCTGTCGATAACCTCCTTATTTCGTTATTATAATAATCCACTTCTAGGCGGTAATAATATTGTTAACTAAACATTTAGAGATCCCAGAGTTATTGCCTGATACTATGGAATTTGTTACACATGCCATAGGAGTTAATGTACCGCACATAGTTTGGTCCTATTCCTAATGGGATCTAAGATTTTTAAGTATGTCCCGAACGTATTATTTGTGAATAGTATAACCAATTTCGATACCTTTGAAATGTATTTATCGATAACTATTCGGACATTGACTCCAGTTGATCATATCTTAAACAATCGGTAGTAATCAGGAACAGTGTTTCCTTCTGCAAACCTTTTTCACTATCCAACGGATAATTGTGTCTGGTGCTTTATGTACAATAAATAGGGTGGTTTCTCACAGTATGAGGTATAAGTCTATATTGACCCATGGATGTAGTATGGAGGGCCTGAAAGGTCTGGTTACCCGGTACCTAATTGCTTATTATCTGGCACGCACTACTTAGGATCTTACGCGCACTATCCGGTGCGCCATTTTGTCGTCCGCGAAAATTCATTGGTTGGCCTTTTTTAAAAAAAAAAAAAAAAAATCCTAGTTGGAACATTATCTAGCGTTAAAATACAGATATGACGTCATCCTTTGGTGTTTGCCTATATCATTGTTTCAAATAATGGTAGGCAATGTACCAAGCGTACATTATTTATACTACATGTAGTTGCAATATTGGACCTACGTGAGATATTTCATTGAAATGCACGAGCCGGATAGTGCCTGTATTTTAAGTTGTTTAATGGTCTCGTACGCGTACAATATCAATATATTATTTAATGTCTCGCACTCGACCATTAAACTACACTTAGTATTTAGATTTGGTTTGCTTTAAATAATCCATGTTAGCGTGGATTACGCCAACTTTAAATCCCCCCAAGTTCTCTCTTTTTGTTCTTTTTTAGTCATTTTAAAGTCGTCTAAAATGTTTACCAAGAGGAAGACTGTGATGTGTGTTGTTTGTGTGGCCTGCTTCATGTTCGGTCTTAATATGTATTCAAGGTAAGTAAATGATTTACAAAGCCGTTGTGGCACAGTGAGTAGGACGCTGGCCCGCTAATCTGAAGTTCCCGGGTTGGCCGACAAAGTTCCTCGGGAGTTTCTTGCGGGGTTTCACCGTGCCAGTAGTGCATGACTGAGGTCCTAGCAACGGACAGTGTCAAGTCGTTCGGTTACACGTTGGCGCGCACGTAATGACGGTTGGCATTGGAGACATTGAGTAGGCTGTAGCGCCTAGAACTTCAGAAACAATGGGACAAATAAGGTGTATCTCAGCATGTTTACTTAAAGCCCGATGTGCCATCTTGGCGCTATAGGAATCACTTGCAAACTACAATATTGTGAAAGATGAGTCTCTAATAGGAATATTAGTCCAAATTAATATAGCCCAATTCCGTTCAGTATTTACAAAGATATGTGGAATTGAAATTGTATCGATCTGTGTTGCTTTGCTATGTAATAAGCCGATCGCCATTTTGTCGTCCGCGAAAATTGATTGGTTGGCCTTTTTTTAATAAAAAAAAAAACAACATCCGATTGAATCAAAGCCGGGACAATATCTAGCGTTAGTATTTTGATATGGTTTGCTTAAGCCAACTTTGAAATCACCCATATTGTCATTACAAGGAATAAAAATATTTTGAGTGTATAGATTTTTAATTTTTTTTAAGACAAGCAGAAAATTTGGATACAAAACAAAAAGGTCAATCGGCGCTGGAAGATAAACGTCATGAGAGTAAAATTTTCAGTCGAGATTCCACTGTCAAAATCTCCAGGAATGAAATATTGAACGCTAAAACCATATTAAAGAATGATTCTGTTAAACAACATGTTAAACGTCCAGTAAATAAACAAAAACACAGATTTAAACAAAATGAACAGTTGACTCAAGATTTGTTCATTTTCCGAATGGAGGATCACAGAAATATTTCTGGGGTGAATCGTCCGTGTTCAGCTCGTCATCAGGAATTGTGGCGGACTTGTATGCATATAAGGAATAACAAGGAGAAATGCGATGGAGAAACGTGTCTCTGTTATAACGGTGGGTGGTGGTTCGAAAAACCAAGATTCACAAACTTTTCTCGACTTTCGAACGATATATTAGATCAGGAAAGAAACCTTTTGTTTGACCCCCCAATCGATGACGTCAAAAAGCTCCCCAACCCAAGGAAATCTAAATTACAGTTGGTAGCCCCTAATGCCAAAAACATATACAGTTTGGGGGACGTCATCAATGTTCGCGTGGATTTATATAACAGTTTCGGTGACGTCATGACCAGAGGTGGCGATGATGTAAGAGCATGGATGGTTGGTGGTCAGGAAGGGAATAAACGTGTAAGTGGAGAAGTCAATGATTTGAAAAATGGAAGTTATGAAGTGTCTTTTCAAACATGGTGGGGAGGACAAAATAAAATTCATGTCGCCCTTTCGCATGAAAGGGAACTGTTAGCGACTCATTTCAGGTGGCGAAGACAATTTTTCTCTCTTTTTCTACATCGAGCTGTGCACAAATACCAAAACAAAACAATATATACAATTTGTGGCGAATACCCAGAACTCCCTAACCAAAATAGCATCTGTGACTTCACAAAAGCTAATGGTGGATTACCGTGGTTTTGTGGTCGTCCTAATATTCCAGAATTGCAATGTGGTGATTTGGAGCACGTCGAAATGTTTGATGCTATCAATATTCCCATAACTGAACCCGAATTCCAGGTGTCAACAAGGTAATTTTTCCTTTTTACTCTGCCACCCTACATATAGGATTAGATAATATCCTATACAATAGTAACTCTGTTCAATTTGGAAAACCAGGGCACATCAGCTGCTGATTGCTGTGGATATTTCCGGACAATAGCTGCTCCAATAAGATGTTTCTAATATCGTTGTCTCCGCGTGAGTTAATCCGACCGAATTCATCGTTATAAGAATAAGACCTCGTTGATTTAGGTCGACCACTGAGCACCAAAATCTTTATATACACGTCTGTTAAAGTTCGTTAGGGCATTGTTGCCTCCATAAATTTAGCCAATCTGTGTTCATCCAATTCTATGATTTTTCTGAGAATCCGCGGATCCATGTCTATTATCTCTTCGTATATGGGACAATAGTCCTGGTGCTATAGGTTCTGTACGGGAGAATCATTACATGTAAAACCACCTTCATTATCTTGGTTGGTGCAGAAAAATGGACGTTAAACCCCATTTCATTTCATCTCCTTTTCGGAGGCCTTTCTAAAACTGTCATAACTTAAGTAAAACCAAATTGGTATTGGGTGCGGCATTGTGCTATATTATACATGTACATACTATTCCATCAACAGAAATACTTATAAAATGATGATAAACAATAATCAGAAAATACAAGTTAACATTGGTGTAAACCCGAGGGGTAAGGAATTGTCTAACTTATTGATATTGTTTCACCTATAATCAAGCAGTTCAATTCGGTTTAGATTACCAATATTTTGTTATTTTTTGTCAATATAATTCAAAATATAATTTAAATGAGATCAGAATTATGTTTTTGTAATTAGTATGAACATTGTTGAGTCCTCAACTGTCTGCGTCTATTATTGAGGTTAATAAATATTTCGTGGAAGGATTATTAACAATTTTTAAGGTATACACATGTATATTTTTTTTATTTGATTTTATGTTGGGACCAAATTATTATTTTTATTTGATCATATATATCTTTTCCAGACATCCCAGAAAAGAATGCATTGCCGACTTGTTCTATGATTCCACGGGAAATGACGTGGAATATATCGAAAATGACGTCACCCACCGGCTATTACAAAGGTGAAACATGGATACCACGTGATTGCTATATACCCCACACAAAGGAAAATCTAATGACCTGTTTTAATAACTTAAGTATAATTCTTTCCGGCGATTCTACAATTCGACAATGGTACTCTACTCTGAAAATGTTTACAAACTGTAAACAAACAACACAAAAATGGACGAAAACTAAATGGTTTGATAACTCACACTGTGTTATAAATCGTCTAAACTTTAGTCTTAGCTGGTTTTGTCACAACCTTCCATTTGTCCTGGACACATTTAATAAAACAACAAAGCATTTTAATCACAAGTCGGTGAGAAGCATTTTAGAAGAGGTTCCATCTAGTGGGCGTTACCTTCTTGTCATCCATTTCTTTGTACATCGTGCAAGGATTCATCACAGTCACTTCCGACGGGAGGCCATTCAAGTCAAGATGGCGCTTAGAGATCATCTAAACAAGAACCCAGATTTAATGGTGGCATTTAAAGGTTTCCATGCGTTCTACGAAGGCGGTTGTCCGGATATTTACGATTACGCCGGTGTATATTTTTTTGAGATTTTGAAAGAAGAATTGCGCGAATTTTGGAGTCGGGTGTGGTATATAAATTATTGGGATATGACAATAGCAACTGAACATAACTATTATAAACATTTACCTGAACCAGAAATCTGGCAACAACTTAGATTATTGTTTGGATATATCTGTAAATAAAACAATGACCCACGAACTCTGTCAATGGACTATAATTTGCGCCCCCTTAAGTTTTTGTGCCCCCTTGCAAATGGCAAAAAAATCAGGTGGTTTCAATGTGGTTTTCAACATTATAATCATAATCATAATGCCCAACCAGTGTCAAACATATACCGTGGGTCAGATATGCTAAAAATCGACTCTAGCATGTTCCACACAGCCCAGTATTACCCGGCGGCACTGGGAGGGACTGACACCCCAAACCCTCCCCCGCACACACATGTAAATCTAATTCCTTTGGGGCCCGGACGGAATCTTGTTCCTCATGCAAAATCATGGGTCACCACGCCACTGGCATAGGGCGTAATATTTTTCGACGATTGGAAACTTACGAGCAAAACAATCCTAACTGTATTCTCCATTGAACAGTCCAATCAACTTTTCAACCATTAACTTTGTACCGAATCGGGTAAACAAACTCCGCAAAATTCGATATCATGGTTCTCTCTAATAGCGTAACCAACAATAGCTGGTCTTTAAACGCGTGGGGAGGGGGTGGGGTCTAGTGTCATTGTGTCAAGTGGCGTGGTTTCAATTCCCCGCTTCCACTGCTAAAGACTCCTACGCGGAAGCGAATTATTGAAATAAAATTGAACCATGTTAGTCCCGAAATGGCCTAGTTTGTGTCGAGTGAATGTTAAACCCTATTTATCTCTCTTCCTTTATCGCGTTCACGAGCCTGCTAAACTTAAACGACCGAACGGTTAGCGCGTGCGCGCTCTATCATAAAGTCTGTCATTGGGTCAACTGGCGTGGTTTCGATTCCCCGGTTGTACGTGACAAGGAGTAGGGTCGCCTGTTCAACCTCGTGGTTATTCTCTGGTCTCCTCCCACTGCTTAAGACCCTACGCGCAAGCGAATTACTGAAATAAAATAGAATCATATGTTAGTCCAGAAGTCACCCAGTTTGTGTCAAGTGGACGTTGAACTCCATCTCTCTCTCTCTCGCTAAACTTAAACAGGGAGATAACTCCGCGATTATTAATTTCGACGAGCAATCGGGCGACGACGGCAGGCGATGAACAGCCACAACAGGCGCAGGTTGCAACGATATTATTTCCAACTACCGTTTTAGAACCTCTGTGAATATGAAGTCAGCAATGCAATACCTTGATATAGAAAATGAAGAAACATAACCCAGAATAAACTGAGTAACAAGCTTGTATTTGGATCCGTACTACATATTTGTGCTTCACGCGACGACAATGACGACAATGTGTAAGAATGCAAGATAAAGCATGCATGGAACCCATAAGTTATAATTTATCTTTGTAAGAAGCGTCTATCCGCGACAATAGAATCAATTCAAAGACACATATAACTTTAGAGTGATTCCATTGTAGCGTCTGATATATCACCACTGCGACGGAGACGGGTAATATAAGTCTGACAAATCAGTATAGTTCAAAATATTAATTTCAAAAAGACAACAACAAATGACTAACGATGCTTCGAGATAAAAGTGAGAGTATCGAAAATATTCCAAAAGACTAGTTTGTAAATCATTATAAGATATTGCAATGGATGTATAAATTAGCTTTCAGTTGAGTGACATTAATAATCATTCCTTTGTACGTTTTATCATCAAACACATGACAACAGGATAAACACAAATATACTTCTTAAAAAATAATATAAACATACACTTATATATATAATCACACGTCTATTAAAGTACTATATTCAATCAGGTTTGGATTTATAACTTTGCCAAGCATTTGATAAAAATTTTACTGAATATATACCCCATTTTAAAAGCGTTTCTTTTACTTCTAATAATAAAGTTAAAATTCGTGATCGTAAATAAACTTCTTGATGAATAAGTCGTGTCATTTCTACAGATAATAGACGTATAACGCCGATATCCCGCGCTAAATCAATCGGTAGTTCTGATTGGCTAGTAGTTTGAAATACGTCAGCTCCGAAAATAACCAACAGACTTACAATCTGCACCCATCCACACGCTGCCGCTGTATGTAAAGGAGTAAAACCATGCACATCCTGTGAATTGACATTAGCACCCTGACATAAAAGAATTTTCACAGCATCGATATTGTTGCTAAGAACGCCATAATGAAGAGCTGTCAAGCCTACATGATTGGTCATCTCAATATTCACAATCTCTTCCGTGTTTGTAAGTATACGCAAAAGCTCTGGTGTGTCACCATCTTGGACAACAGCCGCCAGGACGGAATCAGGCGGGAAAGATATCTTACGTCGCGCCATTTTGATTAAAGAGCGTGCAACTTCAACGGTGGTTTCTCTTAATAATTCTAAATATCATTATTCATAGTAACACTGAAACAGATATCTGTATATTGAACGGAATTCAATATCCATAGCGGTACATTCTAACACATTGAAATATGGCCTGTGACACCTGTTACTTAATACAGTGACACGATTTTAATAAACGCGCACTTCACCACATAGGAAAATCAACACCAATTTCTGAACTTTTCAATCTAATCCCGTTTAAATTTTGTATACAGTGACATTCGTCTAACAGAATACACAATTTTTATGCGAAACAATCACTGGTTTTATTCTATAAGCAGGACGTTTTGACAAGTGTCCTCTTATCGTTATAAAGCACAGTGATATCTAGTTAGCGCATACCGTATAGGAACAGGAAACTACATAAAGAGAGTACGCGATAGTCGTTGTTTAAAAGATTGATGAGTTACACAGCTTCTTATTCACAACGCTCTGTCAATCTATTCCTTTTTAAAGATTCTGATATCGAACAGTGTCAAACTGGTCGTAGCTTTAATAGAAGACAAGTCCAATAAATAAACCCATTTATAAACGGCTAACTCTTTTTACCTATAGGAAATGTGTAATTGATTTTTAAACACTGTGACGACTACTTGTAAACAGTGACGCCAAACACATTAATATTTTTAAGACCGATACTTCTGGTATAAAAGATCCGGAAGGAAATAAGTACTGCACATCCCCAAACTAGTTTTTAACCAAATCACACGATCAGTCTTTAATTTGAACGATGATCAATCTGGATTGTCTTTTTGCCAGGAAAATATCGTCAATATCCTCCCTTGTGTTTTTAAATGTTTAATCAGTAGGTTGTTTATGTCTTTTCACAAATTCGATACGACTGTGTCAACAGGTATTATTTTCCTGTGAAAAGAATAAATATAATAGGATTAATTAATAAATTTTCTATTTGTCTTTCTGTGTGTAAAAATCAATAGGATGTTGTATTGTCTATATTCCTTTAATATAACCTAAAGTAATGCACGTGTTCACAGCCAATAAAGACAGTAATAGATTTGAAGATACATGGATACAGGCAAAACAATTAAGCCGTTAATCGTGCGAAATACCTAAGTAAATGAGAAGTGGTAAGAGGTGTTCTAGAAAGACAGCCAGTCTCTGTGAGTGAGTAACACCAATCACTACTAGCTAAGAGGAGCAACTGTTGGGTACAAAATAACATCTGTCTACATTAGACCCGTTGGTTAAGAAAAGTAGGAGGTTAATAAACCTCATTCCGTTTTCACAAATTAATCTCTAAGCAAATAAACACCTTCAGCGTCACATATAATATAGTCCAAATTTAACTGTTGAAATACATATAAACACCATCAGCATGACCTATAGTCAAATGTTTGGTAAATGCTCCCTTTTTCCCCTCTTGATATAGATTTATTTTGATTTATGGTTAAACCTGTGCCACTGCAGGTCATGGGACTATAAAGTGCAGCTTATGGATGCTTACGTCCGGCACCCGCATCCATTCACTTGGTTTGATAGTGCTTTTATTATTTATTACTTACGATGTCCGTGTGTTGTGTGTCTGACATGTCTTGTCTGCTTGGTTGTCTTCTGGTGTTCTCTTTGTTCGTTATGTAGGGTGCGGTTCTCCAAAAACTTACAACAATAAACAGCTGAAATACAAAAATACCAATGAACTTCACAAATAAATAAGATATTACATATACAAGTTATATTAGAAGGAGTTGCAACCCCGCCTTGTACTCGTGATATAGTTAAAATGGAACGGTACTTTAGTTATCGAAGCTGCTGGGTAGAAAGTTACAACCTCGCGGTTATCAACATTATGTGATTTATCCCTTATAGACTTGTTTTGTCCTTTTCTGATCGCAGACTGTGGGCAAATACATATAGGTTTGTTAGTTCCATTCCAGTGTTTTCTTTGAAATACTACTGATCAAACCTTCATCTCCTAATCCCATAGAAAATCCCACAATGTGCACTGTCCCTAAAGAGCTTTCATTTTCAAACATAATATAAACTTAAACCGGACGTAAACCCGATTGGCTATACTATATGATTATTTACCGAAGACTGTAAGCGCGCTTTGCTTAACGCCCGTTTTCGCAGACAAGAAAAAATCTTTAACATACAATACGGTTCAAGAAATCAGAAAACATAGAACAAACGACAGCACAGAACAGGCATTGTCTTAAAGGAGAAAGGAGCTAAACCGGTCCGATTAAGGTCCAAAATATAGTGTAAACAGGCTTCAGTTTCGAGACAAGATCTATTCGTCGACTCGCATAAAGATTTGGGTTTAACCTTGGCAAACAACTATAAATGGCCAATTCATATTGCAAGCATTTATTAGAAAGCATCAACAAGTGTTAATATTTTACGAAAACTCAAAATCACATCTAACCGAGAATCACTTGAACTTATTTACAAAAGTCACACCGGACCTGTACTGGAATGTGCATTGTAGGTATTGGAAAATACAATAAGAAGCAGCACGTGTTTTGACTGGACTGTATTTAGAGACAGGATGGACAAAGCTTGTTGAACGTCGTCATGTTCGTCGTTTATTTGTAGTCTATTATCGCTCTTCTTATTTACAGAACTATCCTATAATCAATTCAACTCCCATTTGTATTCACTAATTGCAAATGTGGTCCAGCATTAGACACTAAAGAACATTTTTTGCTTGCTTGTCCTTTGTACATAACGCAAGACATTATCTATTAGTGAACATTTCTTATTATGGGGAGACACTTTATTGAGCGAGAATTCAAGGACTACTTGAAAACTACAAAACGTTTTGTTTAACGGTTGTTCTATTTTACTTTTTAAAAAAAATATTTATTGTATTATTTACATTCGTGTTATAGAACACCTCATTTAGAATTTTCAACTTTAAAATGTATTGTGGGGATTGGTTATCAATAACGTTTTGTAATTTTTTACCAGACCCTTTGTATAATTATTGTGCAATAAAATATGCTTATCATTAAGCTGTCGGTTTAATAATAGTTCTATATTTAGTATTTTCCATTTAATAAAATGATAATTTCTTGAGAAAGGTGTGTTTTAACATCAGGTGTCTTCCAGTATTGAAGACTTAAAGTCTATAGTAGTGTTATCTGTATATTCATTCATAAAATGTTTCCTATAAACGTTTGAAATGATGAACTTTATTTGGAAGTATTCCGCTTTCAGAAATGATAGATTGGATTTCAATTTATTTGGTTGGAAAAGAGTGTTTAAATTATAAGTCATCAGTTTAATCCAATAATACACATAAGTGTATATAACTTGGTTAGAAATATATAGAATGGTTTAAGTTACCGCCGTATAGAGATATCTTAAAACAATTTAGTGATAATGTGTCTCTATCAGATAATCTTTAGATTGGCAAATAAATGTTGCTGTTATTGATATTGATGTGTAGGAGAATAATAAAAACTATTGCTATATCACTAAGGTTGGCACCCATGTCCGTTACACCTATCACATTCACGGTATAATACTTCTATATCTTCCTCGATTCTTAACATATTTTTAGTTTGCAGTTTTTAATTTTCATATTTATTAATTTGAAGTTTAGAAATCACATATTCTTAGTTTGGAGTTGGGATATCTCTTATTTCTTAGTTTGAAGTTTGGAAATCTCATAATATTTCTTTGTTTGAAGTTCGGAAATGTTATATTTCTTTGATTGGAGTTTAGACATACGTTGTCGGTCTGGTATTAAGAAATCTCATATTTCATTATCTTGTAATTCTTGATGTGATGTTTATATATTTTAAATGTAGAAACCTTTCCCTTTAAGGTCTCTATATGTTCGATTGACATGACGACGGGAAATTCATTTGACATCAATGTTGTTATTAACATATACATGTGCTCTCTTGGAACCGAGGTTTTACAAAGGGCGACAATAGATTATATTGATTCTGTCAACTTGTTCAGAAAATAAAAAGATTTTATAGTGGTAAACTTATATCGACTTTATGAAAGCACAGCTGCAAAAATCAGAATTTTATTGATCGCTTCTTAATAATCAATGTCAATAAGAGAAAGTAAAGTAATTTCTTGCCTATATTATTAAAATGAGAACGGGTCAAAGTACAATTATTAAACATTTTGTGGAATAGTTTAAAACAATTAAGTTAGAACAGAAAGAAAATTATTATCTTGTATATTTTTTTAAAAATCAGGTCAACTACGAAGGATTTCTTAGTTGCAGTTAACAAGTTAGAACAAAAAGAAAACAATTTATTATATTTTTTAAAAAACAAAACAAACACATTAACTACGAATATTGAACATTTTGTAAGTCAGGGGATTTCTTACTTCTGACCAATAGTTTAAAACAATCTTAAAAGGGTAAGTTAGAGTAAATTTAAACAAGCATTATGCAAGAGCTAAATCTTCCTGTTGCAGGTCTTTCTTTAGGCCTTAAATGATGAATTATTAATTAGACATTGATTAACTTACCAAGACCATAATCAACTCTCGATGCCATCGGATTGCTCCGATATTACGTATATTTAAATACATTTTGCTGTTGATGATTTACCGTAAAAATGAATAATCGAAACTTTGTTTATCCTTAATGTAACAACGGTAGCAATGACAACCAAGGCTACACTGTCAGAGTGAAGTAATTTAACTGAAATTTTCAACATTCCCTTTTCATTATCTATTTTTTATTTATTATAGCGAGAATTGTCAGTTCTTTATCTAATCTTACCCAATTCACCTTTAATTAAGTAAGTATAAACTTTCGGCACCTCAACCTCCTGCACCTTCATCTCCAGGTCCATACTCCAAAACAACTGGATGGGTGCACATTGTAATGATACAAAAGATGCTACTTGCCCATGACAATACTGTATTATTTAAAGGAGAGGGTGAAAACGAATCAATTTAAAAAAAACAACAACAACATAATTTAACAATAATTTTATAATGCGGGAGTAGAAGCTCCTTCAAAACAATTGCAGTTTGTGTTCTGGGCCTTTCAAACACAAATTAAAACTGTGCCAATAAGATTATGCTTCTAGTATCCGTATTGTGAACACCTTCCAGTCATGTTTATTAAATTAATCATTTTCTATCGTGTTTTGTCACAGATTTCAGGTGCAAATATACATCATGATTTAATTTCGATTACATGGTTGGGACATAACCTCGAGACAAATCACTATATAGCTTTCAAAGCTCTATATTCCCTCTATATATCAATCGTATTGAATGATGATGTCCAATAAAGGCATTACAAATATTTCATAACATAAGTTCTTCTTACATGGATCGGGCAACTATTCCGCAATAAGATGGCTAGATCCCACTCCAAGCCAGGAAGTAGGAAATAGAAAAACGGCAAATTCACCAAAGAATGCTAATGGCGATGGATTTGATATATCTTGCGTCGCCCTCATTTGAGAAACATGTCGCACATTGGAATGTAAACCAAAGACCAGTAACACCGACAAACTGGAATAGAAACCTGTGCTAAACACTAGACGTACTTCATTGGTTGAAGCAAATAATGGAATTGAAAGGAATTAAATAAATGATTGTATTTATCATAACAAATTAATGGACTTCCTTTATTAAATATGTCTTTCTTTACCAGTAGCTTCAGTCTGTTAAATTATTGCTTGATTTCGTACATATGGCGGGATATAAAATAAGAAAACAAACATCACTGCACAATTAGCGGATTAGCCCTAATTCGCGTTAGGGAATATTACGGTTTTTATGCAAAAATCAAACTTATTCTGTCTAGAATACCTAATACTAATACTTCAAATAAATAGGCTTATATTGAATACCTAATACTACAACTTCACATAAATAGGCTTACTATTATCTCTAATATCTAATACAGACTATTACTTAACATAATAGACTTATATATCTTGAATACCTAATACTAATACTTCATATATATGGGCTTATTCTATATTTAATACATAATACAACTACTTCACATAAAATTTAAATAGACTTATTCTATATTGAATACCTAATACTACTACTTCACATTCCTGTCAATAGCGTTTGGGGTAACTTTAACAGTGATCGAATATGAGATGTTGATGTTCCTAACTAGACGATTGTGTGTTTTTATGCGTTTTGTCCCTAATAAATGGACATAAATTATTCATGTAAAATAATTTTGTCTGGGAGCTTTATTAGTTCACGGATAAACTAAATGTAGTCATGGGTCGATACAGACCTGTAAATAACAAGCAATAATTATGTAGGATGTCAATAGTGCGGTATAGGGGTATTGTTTGGAGACAAAATATCTCAGTGCAATAAATCATGACTTTTGCATAACGAACGTTATGAAATAAACATCAAAAATTCAGATAACACTATTCAAAATATCAATGCAGATAACACTATTCAAAATATCAGAGATAGATCTATTCAAACTACCAACACAGATAGCACTATTCAAACTATCAAACACGGATAGATCTATTCAAAACACCAAATACATATAACACTATATAAAAAATATCAAATACAGATAACACTATATAAAATATCAAATGCAGATAGCACTACTCAAAATATCAAATACAGGTAGCACTATTCAATATATCAAATTCCGACAGCACTATATAAAATAGCAAATACAAATAGCACTACT